CTTCCAGAGGTCCTGAGTTCAATTCCCAGCAACCACATGGTGGCTCACAACCACTTGTAATGAGATCTGGTGCCCTCTTCTGGCCTGCAGGGACATATGCAGGCAGAACACTGTATACATAACAAATAAATAAATCTTTAAAAAAAAAAAAAAAAAAAGAGTTGAACCCAAGGGTGGGAAAGATGACTCAGCGGTTAAAAGCACTGGCTCCTCTTCCAGAGGACCAGGGTTCAATTCCCAGCACCCACATGGCAGCTCACAACCATCTGTAACTCCAGTTCCAGGGGATCTGACACCCTCACACAGACATACATGCGGGCAAAACACTAAAAGAAGAGTTGAACCCAGGGCCTTGGGCACACTAGGAAAGGACTCTATCACTGAATTATTTAATATTCTCAGCTCAACTTTCACTCTTTACTCTATACGCTAAAACTGAATATTTACAACAGCGTACGTCATTTTAATAATTAGCAAAAATAAAGGTTCTTATATTTTAGCGTGAGAACAGAGGAAGGAGGGAGAGGGAAAGTCAGTTTGATTCCTAACAACACAGTGGTGAGTAAAGAAGGACTCCTTGGGCTCTCTTATCATTCCTGTTGTACGATTAAGTCTCTGGCAAAGACACTTCCTTGAGCTTTGGCTGCTTCATCTATAAAAACCAGTTTTTAGTCCATTTCTTTATGATGTTAACCTCTGGGGCACCGACTCTCAGCCACTTAAACTGGAGTACTTTTAGCCAGTCAACGTCTCGGTTTCTTCACCTGAAAGATGAGGCATGAGGTCGTCTAAAGAGCCTACTTCAAGAATGACTAGGCTCACCAGGCTTGGTGGCGGGCGCCCAACCTGGCTGAGCCATCTCGAGTCAGCCCATTTTTTTTTTTTTAATTTTCTATTGAGTTTTCCATGTCTTTCCACGGACTTCGTATAAGCTCACGCATGATATGGAAAAGAGACTCGAAATCCCAACCCCAAACCCAATTATTCACAGAGAAAATATTGCACTCACCAAAAAATTGCTTATTGTCCTCATAGTATTTGTTTCCATACTTGTCCTCCCCCACCAAGGTACCGAGCCGTATATCATTTGCCCTGTAAATACACGGGGGGAAAAAAGAAGCATCTCAGAACGGTTCACTGTTCAAGACACAAACAGAAACAGAGCGAGAATACCATGTTCTGCTGCACCAGCTACAGGAATGAGGGGGTTCTGGGGACAGTCGCCGGTTGTACATCTCTATAGCCTTCAGTAGAAGGCTCTTGCCACTCAATGTTCAAGGATCACCTTTCCTGCTAAGAACTCTGGCGTCTCCTGTGCTGTCCCAGGAGCACGCAGGCAGGTGAGAAGAATGAACCAACACAACCGATGTGCTTGAATTACATTTAAACCACGACCTGCAAGCCACAGTACACGTTTTTTTCTACCTCCCCTGCACCCAGAGACACGAGTCAGCAAACTCTTCGGAGAGTCAAAGTACTTCATCTTCGTACGGCGAATGTCTCCAGGACTTTTCAACGCACTGCAGGTCTCCAAATGGTTCCCCGCAGTGGCTGCTGCTTGTCGGGATTATCAGGGGCGGACACAGAGGATGAGGAGCGCCTCCTTCAACTTCTTACGGTACGCCAGCGCCAAGGAAAACTCCCCAAGGTCACCAAGGGCGCGTCTGGTGAAGCATTGCACCCCAGGACTCGGGGACCGGTGCAGCCTAGCTGCCCCCCAGCCCTGCGGGCGTCACTGCTCCATCCATCGCTTGGGACTGAGCCGGAGCCAGAGACTTCGGACGATCGCAACCCTGGGACCGAACCTGTCGTCCTTGACGGGCGCTGTGGCCCTCCGGGGGTGATCGACCCCGGGGACCCCTTTCCAGAAAAGCAGCCAGCGCGGGGCCGTCCCCAGAGTCCCAGAGTCGAGATCTGGCCCCTCCTACCTGAAGAAAACCTTCAGGAGGCCCCGCAGGCCGCCGTGGCCGGTGACCTGCTGCAGCCCGCGCTTCAGTACGGCCACCAGCTCCATGTAGTAAGCCTCCATGGCCCGCCCCTTCCGTGCTCCGGGCAAAAGGCGCCGGTCGGAAGCAGCGGCGAGCGCGCAAGAAACCGGCGGTTGCAGGTTCCGAGCAAAGAAGAAGCCGCGCGGAGGGCGCCGCGCGCACGCGCGCGCAGAGCCGGAGCCGGCCGGGCAGAGGGAGCTCCGGATCTCGCTGCAGGCGCAGGTTGGTGTTCTTCTGAAAGGTGCAAAGAGTGCAAATGTTTTCAGAGGCTGGACCCAGAAAGGGACCCTGTGGGGGACAGTACACCAAACAAGGCTCCCCCAGATGGGAGTTTCTCCGGTGCATTCTTCAGTTTCTTCCTCCCAAAAAAACCCTGATGGAGCCCATTCCAAAAGTTCCTTACAGCGCTAGAAACTAAGAAATGCATCAATGACCCCATGTCGATATTGTACCTTCGATACCGCGTGCATATGATTTTGAATGCACACGTTGGTGGTGTGTCAGTAGGGAATGAGGAGGAAATGAAAAGTATAAGATTAAAATACTTCAAGGTTTAGCTATTTTAGTTGCTAGGTTAATATTCAAAATGTAAGCATTTTGTAGAGATTGAAAGGACACTACTTAGACTCCATCGCAGAGTTAGTGCTTTACAAAATAGTAAAATAAATAATCCTGGCAAACCCTTAACCATAATAACCAGGGGCGTGCGGTGGGGAGGAAAGAAAAGAGAAGATTCAGATTAATGAAAACTAAAGATTAAAAACAGAGTGCTGCAACAAGCTGTCAATGAAATCTAAAGGATCATTAGCGAATACTACAAAACTTAAATTTTTAAAATGCTGAAAAGGACAGGAAATGGATAAATTCTTAGACACTCACTCGTAGCCTACCAAAATTAATTCAAGAGAATATGAGCAATTTAAACAGATCCATAGCAGTCAATGGATAAATTCTTAGACACTCGTAGCCTATCAAAATTAATTCAAGAGAATATGAGCAATTTAAACAGATCCATAGCAGTCAATGAGACCAAGGGCAAAACACAAAGTCTCTTAGCGAATAAAAGCCCAGAACAAATTAATTCTCAGTTGAATTCTACCAAACCTTAAAAAGAAAAGAGCTAGCGCCAACTTCTCCAAGTGTTCCATAAAGTAAAACGCTATCAAATTCGTTCGCGAAAATTCAGCATTATCCCAGTGCCAAAGCTGAATAAGGCCACTTCACAAAACCTTATAGAAACAAAAATTCTCAACAGAATCCTTGCAGGCTGAATTCAAGAACTCATTGAGACTACACACCATGACCAAGCTGTTTGGATGTAAGTATGGTTCATCCTATGCAAATCAACAAATATAATACAACCCAAAAATGGCTTTAAGGAGAGAAAGCACAAGATTACCTCAAGAGATGCAAGAAAGCCTTTGATAAAGTTCAACTTCCTTTCATGTTAAAACCCTGAAAAAAAAACTAGGACTAAAAAGAACATACCTCAATATAGTAAATACTGGATAACACAAACCTATAGTCAACGTTGTACCAAATGTGGAAAAATGGAAAGCATTTCCCCCCAAATCATGAACGAGACAAGAGTGTTCACTCTCTCTGCTCTTATTCAACATGATGCTCAAAGTCTCAGCTAAAGAAACAATCAAGAGCCGGGCGGTGGTGGCGCACGCCTTTAATCCCAGCACTTGGGAGGCAGGGGCAGGCGGATCTCTGTGAGTTCGAGGCCAGCCTGGGCTACCAAGTGAGTTCCAGGAAAGGCGCAAAGCTACACAGAGAAACCCTGTCTCGAAAAACAAAAAAAAAAAAAAAAAAAAAAAAAGAAACAATCAAGAAAGAGAAGAAAGTGATACAAACGGGAAAGAAGTAAAATAGATATAAAATAAAATAGTCCCTACTTGCAGATGACATGATCCTGTACTTAAAAGATCCTAGATCCCACAAAAAAATTCTTAGATCAGATACTTTCAGCAAAACCATGATACAAAACCAGGATACAAAAATCAGTAGGTTCTCTCTATACCAATAACAAACTTGCCGAGAAAGAAACCAGGAAAACCATCCCATTTATGAAAAAGACTCTAGATGAGCATAAGACCCTGAGGAAAGAAAGTGAAGAAGGCACACGATGATGAAATGATGTTACCATGAATGATGGCCCATGCTCATGGAGTGCCAGAGTCAATATTGCTTACACAACCTTATTCTTACTTCATTTATTAACCACAGATACCACCCCATCAACTGTTTGGTTCCTGAAATAATAAAAGTCAGATGAGTGCTTGATTCATTTGGAGCTATAGCAATCTCTCTCTCTCTCTCTCTCTCTCTCTCTCTCTCTCTCTCTCTCTCTCCCTCTCTCTCTCCCTCCCTCCCTCCTTTATCTCTCTCCCTCTCTGTGTATAAAAGAGAGAGAATATAAATTTGTAGATTTGACTAATTTAAATATCTCCTATAGGCGGGATTGTGCAGTGTGTCTACCTTTTTTCACTTTAGATTTGTGTGTATGTGTATGCTCATGTAGAGGTCAGAGGACATGTTGTTCCTCAGGTATCATCTACTTCTTTTTTTTTTTCAGACACAGTCACTTATTGGACTTGAACTTGTAAAGTAAACTAGACATGCAAGACTGAAAGCCTCACCGAGCCACCTGGCTCCACTCCCCAGCACCAAGACTACCAAGGTGCCACCATACCCAGCATTTTCTACATGGGTTCTGAGGATGTAACAGGTTCTCACGCTTGTAAGGTAGGCACTTGGTGACTGAGCCTTGTTTATTTTTTTCAACATACAATATTACCATCAAGGCTTGGCAGTGGTGGCGCACGCCTTTGATCCCAGCACTCAGGAGGCAGAGGCAGGCAGATCTCTGAGTTTGAGGCCAGCCTGGTCTACAGAGCGAGTTCCGGGACAGCCAAGACTACACAGAGAAACCCTGTCTCAAGGAAAAAGGAAGGAAGGAAGGCAGACAGACATGAATAGTTTCCTTTCTGAGACTAGATGAATTCATTTACTATGATTATCTCCAGTTGTGAACATTTTCATGCAAATGACATAACACTTCATTCTTCTCAGAAAAATTTGTCACTTTATGACTGGATCATTTCTGCCACATCATCAAGAATGTTCACCTTATAGTATGAATGTAGCCCACCTCTGTGTATATATATGTAAGTATGCAGGTGTATATATATGCCCATGAACTTGTGCAGGTGTGAAGGCAGAGGTCAAATCTGGGTGTCTTCCTCTATCAGTCTCCACCTTATTATTCTTTCATGTGCCTGGGGGTTTTACCCCCCATGTATGTCTATGTATCACATGCAGGCCAGGTGCCCATGAATGCCAGTGGAACTGGAGTTACAGACTGTTGCGACCACCCTGTGGGTGCTGGGACTCAAACCCAGGTCCTTGGCAAGAGCAACCAATACTCTTAACCTTCTTTTAAAATATTTTTTTATATGTATGTTAGTTCCTGAATGTATGTACATGTGGCACATGTGTGCAGTATCCTCAGAGGCGGAAAGAGGGAGCCAGATCCCTCGAACTGGAGTCACAGACTGTTGTGAGCCACCATGTGGGTGCTGGAAAACAGATCCAGGTCTGCTGCCATGGCAGCCAGGGCTCTTAACTGTTGAGCTGAGTCCAGCTCCGCCATACTTATTTTTAAGACAAGGTCTTTCACTGACCCTGAAATTTGTCTAGACTGGCTGGCAGTGAGCGCTCAGGATCCACTTGTCTCAGTCTCCACCCCACCTCCTGCCCCGCCCCCAGCACTGAGTTACAGATGCACATGGCTGTACTTGGCTTGTATGGGTTCTAGAAATCCAAATTCACATCATGCTTGGGCAGGAAGCATTTTACCCACTGAAGCATCTCCCCAGCCCTTGGATCATTTTTTTTTTTAAAGATTGAATAATAAATAAGTTCTACTTCATATATGTATTAACTATTCTTTATCCACTCTTTTATCATGGTAATTTAGGTTGCTTTCATCTCTTGACTATTCTGAACAAAGTTCCAATGAACATGGGTGTGCAAATATTGAGGTCCTTTTTCCTAAGCATATGGTAGTTTTGTTTTAAAGGAATCATTATATTGGTTTTCACCGTGGTTGCCCCATTTAATTGTCCCACTGACAGAGCACAGGGTTCCAATACCCACCCTCTAAATAGAGTGAAATAGAGAGGTACGAGGATGTGCTATAAAGTGAACATGGTTGATGCTGCGCTAAAGGAAATTTTTTCGTTATTTGTATTTTGCATGTGAGTGGTGGGTATTCTTTATGTCTTCCTCACAGCACTTATTTTCTTTGATGACTAGAATGCAGAGGCGTCACAGCAGGGAAGAAAAGGCAAAGCAGCTTCCGGGTGACTCCATCAACTGGGCTGTGAGGAGCAGAACAGGGAGGCTATGGACAAGGCCTGGTTCTGCCCACCGGAAGTCCCGGCTAACAGCCACTAACAACTTCCAGCAACATGAGAGACTACAAAGATTTGAACCCACGACATCTGCCTGAATCCTGGCCTGACTGGAGACAGCTTGTCCCCGACCACCTCTGTCTATATTGTAGATCCATGAGCAAACGCATATTTCAGCTGGAAGGTTTGGGGTGGCTTACTACAAAGCAATTGATGCTTGAAATACTACCAATAGTTTTGAAGCCCCTTCTAGATCCTTCCCTGTTTGCACTTTCTTCCTACCTCCCCAACTATAATAATTATTATTATTATATACCTACACTTATTATTCCTAATGCTCTTGCTTTTTGACCATTAGTTTTTATATGTATATGAATATAGAAAAGTATTGTTATGCATGTATAATAATATTCTGCTTGATTTATGTATTTATTCTTGTCAATGCAGGCTAGCTCTTATTTATAAAATCTTATCATGTGCAAGTGTGCATCTGTGCATGCGTGTATGTGTGTGTGTGTGTGTGTGTGTGTGTGTGTGTGTGTGTGTGTGTGTAAGGGGGGCATGTATGCACCATGGTGCACGTGTGGAGCTCAGAGGATAGAGACTGAACTCAGGTAGCCGGGCTTTCACGGAAAGTGCTTTGATGCACTAAGTCATCTTGCTGGGCCATTATTTTTGCTCTTCAAATACTTACATGATTTTCCCCTTCTAGTGCTGGAGACTGAACCTAGGGTCTTGTAAATACTAAACTAAGCACAAGGATCCTTTCCCTGCCCTATGACATGGGAGATACCCAAACACTGAATAAATAGGTTACTGAAATAAAATACATGGACAGGATACGGAAATTTGTAATGCAAGTCACATTTTAATACAGTTTCAAAACCACTTCCCGATATAACTACAAATTTAGTCAGGAAAAATATATGACATATCTTAAGCATTGGTACACTGCTTTAAAGCACTGTTTTTCCTGAATCCTTTGCTTACTATCTGAGATGACAAAGGTTCCGGAGGTGTCCAACAACTTGACACTGTGATATGACATTGTCATCTACAGATGTGTTAGGCTGCAGGTTAGACATGCCCTACTGAAATAGTCTATTTGAGCATTTTATGCTCTGTATAGTTTTTTCCCCCAGCAGCTTATTATAAATAAAGCTGTTGACAAAATTAAACAGGGAATAAAGCCCTCATAGTAAGTTGATAAAATTCGCAAGATTATACTTTTAAACATTCTGTTTTTTTATTTACTATAATTATTAGTAAAAGCCACCCCCATAGAAAAATTCAGCAAAAATCTTTATTAAAAGAATGTACTCTGGCTGCCATAAAATCTCTATATTTGTGTTTAAAAAATAAACAAATATCAGCATGTGGTACATGTCTTTAATCCCAGCAGCTGGGAGATGGAGGCAGGAAGACCACTGCACATTTGAGTCCAGTCTGGGCTGGCCTGTCTCAAGAAACCAAAACAGAGAGGGAGGGGGAAGGGAGAGAGAAGAGGGGAGAGAGAAGAAGAGAGAGAATATCAACAAACAGATGAATAGATTTACCAAAGGGATTCATTATGAAATTAGAACAAAGAAATATCGATTGCGTGTAGTATTGACGTGGAAGGCCCAGGAGGCTGAAATGTCTGTGTTGGAGCCAATGAGACTTCATGGTGCTGTAACAGCCCCTCCTCTTCTACTTAGTAGTGGAAAACAACTCCCTCGATTCTCCTCCTTTTTCCTTCACAAACTATCAAGGGCTTTCATTATTTAACTCACCTGGGGGCCATATTGGCTACGATAATTGCATTACTTAACAAACTGGGTAAGTCTTTCTAAATGACCTAATAAAAATGGCTAAAAGCCGGGGTAGAATGGAGAAGCTGAACCCCATCTGTGGAGAGGCTAGGTGCTTTCTGTGGAATGGAAAAGCAACAATTTTAACGCCCAGTCTAAAATATTAACACATCCTGGGTTCAGTCTTGACTGTGTTTAGAACACAGGAAACCCATCATTTTAAAAGCAGATCTCTATCTTGTTCTCAAAACTAATCTTCTACCACAGTGAATAAAAGTGCTCATAACTGATAATATACAACACTAAAAACCAAAATTACAAATGGCTTCTGTCTCATTGCCAGCAACGAGAGTGTTAAATGCTTGATAGTTATAAAAGCTAAAAATATATATTCATTTCTTACTTCCCATAGTTCTAAAATGATCACTATATAATTGAACATAAAATAATCTTTTGACCTGGTAACTAAAACGATTACATTTTGGACGACTAAGATGCAGCTGCCTGGGTGTCTTATTATTTCAGTGAACCAAATCAATGGAATTAAACAGGAAGAGAACACAACTCAGGGGAAATACTAGTTTATTTGTTTTATAAAATAGAACGAGAAAGCTTAGTGTAGATGGTCAGGAGGAGACGGTCCTGGGTGTCACCTTGATCAAGAACAGACCCATACATTTCTTATTCATCCCCATAGCAGGCAGGGAAGTCTATTCCAGATCCCTGACTAGTCACTTCAGTTCTTCTTAAAGAATCCAAAATAAAAATACTTTGAATTTTGGTTACTCTTAAAGTTAGTATTTGCAGATGCCCTGGAAGCAACAGTTCAATTTGGTGTCTGGTGTCCCAAGAAGGGACAGTAAACTTAGTCCATAGCCACGTGCCCTCGGCTTTCAAAGGCTGTGACCAATTATCTGAGAGTTGTAGTCTGCAGGCTCCATCTTTAAAATGTGTGGGATGACACTGTCGATTCGTACATTCCCAATGAGACCTTTGAAGAACAATTCTTCGGTGATGGTGGCGTTCATCAGTCTCAAAGCCGGCAGTCTGAGAAGTAGTCGAGATAGCCTGAAAGGAAGGGGGGGGGGGGGGGAGTCAGGTGAAAAGCCAAAGGGACTTCGGAGAAAAAAGCATCCATGCCAAAATAAAGAACAAAATTTCAAAACCCAATCCAAAACTTCAGATTGTTAAGGCTTTGAGTGACAGGACAATTACCTCTACACGACTCCAATCTCCACAGGAAAGCCTTGCTCTGGACTGCTTCACCATGCTGTCCCCACTTGGCTACAAGGACCACGGACTAAATTGTTAAACCATGAGTCAGGTTCTCTTAAGAACAGCTTCCCAACAATGTTTTTAAATGTTTTAACCATGGTTTTAAGAACAATGTTTTATGTTATCAGAACACGGGAGGACCGATAACTTTTCTTTTGAAAACACACACACACACAGAGAAACAGGCACACACAGAGACACACACACACACACACACACAGACACACACATACAGACACTCACACACAGAGACGCTCACACACAGAGACACACACAGAGACACAGGCACACACACAGACACACACACAGAGACACAGGCACACACACAGACACACACAGAGACACAGAGACACAAGTACACACAGAGAGACACAGGCACACACAGAGATACACACACAGAGAGACACTTACACACAGAGACACACGCACAGACAGACAGACAGACAGACAGACAGACACACACACACACACACACACACACACACACACACACACACACACACTACTAGAATACCTAGTCTACCAGGTAACCAATGCTATTATAAAGAGCATGGATATGGAAACCGGTCATTGGGTTCAACTGTGACTCAGCTGCCCCTTTTACATGAAAGCGTCACTTCCTCCAGCCCTTTCCACAGAGCTGGTGTGAAGGTGAATGATGCTTCCTGACTAATTCTACGTTTAGGAGTAAGTTCATAAAGGTAGGACCATGAGCTTGTGTGGAAGTGTATTTGAAGCTGAAAACTGCAGTTCAAGGGTAACTTCCCATAAGCAGGGATGTGAAAAGCTGAGAGAGCACCCTTACTCTGGTGTTCTGGATTGTCAGGAAGTAAAACAAGGGTTGTCTGAACACAAACCCCCGAATGAAACCCCTGACACCCGAGGTGGGTACCACACGGCCAACAGGAGAGCAGTCTGTACAGCATGGATATGCTAGGCAGAGGGAGATGCAATCCAGGATGGGACAGAAAAAGAGAACAAGACCTTTCAGGGCTACTCACAATAGCAATTAGAATGCATGAATAATTGCTGGAATTCTTTAGTTAATATTTCTGGTCTGAGACTGACCACGGGTAATTGAAACTATGTGTAAAGAAGCCTTCTAGAATTTTGAAAAGTGGATAGTATTATCATAAGTGCAACAGACATTAACCCCAGCAAGCATGGTATCATATGCTTATGATTCTTAATCATTCTGATCTACTGGCCTTTCTTCAGAGATAGCTGTTTTTATAAAAATAAGAAAGGAGAGTTCCTTCCCACTCCAAAGAACATTGGCAAGAAGTAACCTGGAGGAATTATCATAAGCTATGTTTCAAACTGAAGTGTCTACCAGCGTAAGGGTGTTTTAATTCATCATTTTCCCCTCTCTTCTTATTAATTATTTCATCTGACAATCCTGTGTCTTTGAGCCAGTTCTTCACCCTCGATTTAAAGCAGTGGTTCTCACCCTTCCTAATGCTGCGACCCTTTTAACACAGTTCCTCATGCTATGGTGACCCCAACCACAACACTATTTTTGTTGTTGCTTCATAACTGCAATTTTGCTGCTGTTAAGAATCGTAATGTGGGGTTGGGGATTTAGCTCAATGGTGGAGTGCTTGGCTGGCAAGCGCAGGGCTGTGAGTTCGGTCTTCAGCTCAAAAAAAAAAAAAAAAAAAGAATCGTAATGTAAATACCTGTTTTCCAGTGGTTTTAAGCAACCCCTGTGAAAGGGTTGTTCAACCCCCAAAGGGGTCTTGAACCATTGACTTAAAGTGAGAACTCATTAGCATGTGAGGCCTGGTAACAGCTACTTTGTCCCCTCGGTGTTGGGGACCAAACCCAGGGCCTTGCGCTCTGTGTGTCACCACTAACCTAAAGCCCTGGGAACGTCTTCAGTTCTGTCTTTGTGGAGATGGGAAGGACACTCAGGAGCTTACATACACTAAGCAAGCACTCTAATGCCACGCCGCAGTGACAGCCACATTATGGCCTTCAATAGCATTCACCACTGCAAAGGTCAGGGCTGACTAAAACACTTCATTCCTTGGAAAATGGAAAATGATGTAGAACAGATTTACTAAAAAGCTTTTAGGCCAGGCACAGTGTTGCACGTCTAGGTATTATAATCTTAGCAATCTGGAAGCAGAAGCAGGGGAATCATAACCAAGGCTATCCTTGGGTACATGTAAATTCAAGGCAACATAAGCTACATGAGACCCTATCTCAAAACAAATGCAAATGTAGCTAGAAGTTTCTCTGGTCCTGCCTGGGTCCTGCAGTCCCATGGCCTGCTTATAAAATAATCACACAGAGGCTTAATATAATTTATAACTGCTCAGCCATTAGCTCAGGCCTATCATTGACTAGCTCTTACACTTAAACTCAGCCCATTTCTGTTCATCTGTATGTTGCCACGTGTTCCGTGGCTTTACCTGTGTGCCATTACATGCTGCTCCCCGGACAGTGGGCTGGCATCTCCTCACTCAGCCTTCCTCTTCCCAGAAATCTCCTTGTCTGCTTATCCCGCCTATACTTCCTGCCTGGCTCCTGGCCAATCAGCATTTTATTAAACCAGTGTACAAAAGCTTTATCCCACAGCACACAAATCCTTTAAAGGAACAGCACTGCACAGTGTAAGTCTAGAGGTACCTGTAGGTGTCATCTGGATATGTCCTGGTGATATAATCCTGGAATTCCACATAAGCCTTTTCCTGAAATCTCTCAATCAGCTCCATATTCTCCAGGCCGGGATGATCTAAGACATAAAAGAATATAGTTACCCAAGTTCTGAATGCTCATCTAATAATTCATGGATGTGGAGAAAGGTGGAGGAACCAATAGTTCATCAGAAACAGAAGAGCCACATACAATGTTTTGCTCCTTCAGTCCATAAGTATTTACTGGATACACCACCAAACACCATATTGTAGCCAGTGGTAACTATTATAACATCTAATAAAAACCAGATCACTGTGTGTTACCAACACGTTTTCTTCTCAAAAGTAGTGGAATGCAGAGGCAGGCGGATCTTTTTGAGTTCGAGGCCAGCCTGGTTACAGAGCAAGATCCAGGAAAGGCGCAAAGCTACACAGAGAAACTCTGTCTCAAAAAACAAAAACAGACAAACAAACAAAAAACAAAAAAACAAAAAACAAAAAGTGGTGGAATGCTTTTTTGTTGTAGGACTAAAATTAAAAGTACCTTTAATCCACAAAGTATTTACAGGTTGCAAGGAGCCCACCAGATATGGCCATGTTTGAAAGTACTTATGAAATTATGAGTTACGAGCACTTTTACCTCTCAGAAAAATCATAATGCATGAACACGACCTGATCTACAAAACATTTTGATAGTCATATTTCACAAAACAGAAATATTTAAGGAACTCCATCAATTTATATCTAACTTTTCAATTTTACCTAAGAAAATAAAATTGGCTAAGGGGTTGTGCTAAACGGAGACACGCGTGGCTCGACGCGCGGGCTCGGGGCAGAGCTGCCTCCTGCCCTTTACGGTCCTCTGCCGGATCTCAGCACCACACACAGGAAAAACAGAGAGTGAAAATGGAGAACCGATTATCAGCTCATGCAAAGCACTCTCTACTAGGAGAAAAAGTTTCAGTATCTTATTCATATCACCGAGAGGAAGAATCAGGTTTCCCCAGTTTTGTTAGGGCACACAGGAACACAACACCTACAAAGTGAAGACACAGACCCTCGGAGGACTGTTGATCCCTCCTACTCGGAGCTAGAGATCTTAATGTCAGTTTACTGAAAACTAGACACTGTCAGGAAAGCAGGAGGCCTGTCTTTCTACATTTTACAGTTTTCATAAGATCCTGAGAGTGTAACAAACCCCAGGCATAGCAACAATTGTCTTGTGTTCTGGCTTTAATAACGCCTAACAAGATAAACCTAAGAATTCTAATAATATAGGCCTAAGTGTTCCACTGATTATCCATGAAAGTGTCTGATATCCTTAAAAATCACATTTAAAGCACAAAATTAGAAGATTTTAGAATATTCAGTTTTATACTTATTACCACAATGTAATCATGGGACATTTTTATGATTCCAAACGAACCCCCAACCAGTAGCAATCACTCCCCAGCTCCCGACTCCTTGACTCTACAAATGACTCATTTACACTCTTCTTCATGCTTATCTACATGGGATTATTTCATATAAATGGAGTCAAACAATTATGTGCGCCTGTATGAGTGGCTTCTTTCACTTAGCATAATGTTTTCAGGGTTTATCATGTCATGGCATATATCAAAACTTTTTATGCTAATAGTATTTCATTGTATGCACATATTACACATACACACCAACCAGTCTTTAAATTTTCTTATTACATTTACATATTTGTGTGTGTGTGTGTGTGTGTGTGTGTGTGTGTGTGTGTGTGTGTGTGTAGGAATACATGCCACAGTGCATCTCTGGAGGCCAGAGTCTTGCAAGAGTCAGTTCTTTCCTTTTTTTTTTTTTTAACCACGTGGGTCCCAGAGATTAGAACTCAGGTCACTAGGCTTGGCAGCAACTACCTTCCCTGGCTGAGCCAACTCACCACCTCATTTTCTTTTCTTCCCAAGTGTTGTTTTGAGCCAGGGTCTCATTTAACCAAAGGTGGCCCAGATTCGCTATGGAGAGGTTGTCCTTGAATTCTAATCATCTCACATCTACCTAACAAGTTCTTAGATTAAGGGCATATCCCATCGAGCCTGGCTTCATCCATTTTTTGATGGGCAATTACACAGTGCCCATTTTTTGGCTACTATGACTAGTGCTAAGATGAACATTCATGTCCATATTTTTGTGTACATATATACTTTTCTATTTTGGAGTCAATCGGAATTGAATATAAGCTTAATTTGTGTGTGTGTGTGTGGCAAATATACTTGTTATTATAGGGGTGTTCATGTGTGTGTGTGGCATATGTACTTGTTACAGGTGTGTTCATGTGTGTGTGTACAATATATGTACCTGTTATTATAGGTCTGTTCCTGTGTGTGTGTGTGGCAAATATACTTGTTATTATAAGGGTGTTCATGTGTGTGTGTGTGTGTGTGTGGCATATGTACTTGTTACAGGTGTGTTCATGTGTGTGTGTACAATATATGTACCTGTTATTATAGGTCTGTTCATGTGTGTGTGTGTGTGTGTGTGTGTGTGTGTGTGTGTGTGTGTATGCAGCATATCACTTGTTATTATATAATATAGGTGTGTGCATGTGTGCGTAGGTCACAGGGAGCCATCTGGCCTTTATGTTTTGAGACAGGGTCTCTTGCCAAGCTTATCGATTTGGCTAGGCTGGAGGGCCAACGAGCTTTAGAGATCTGTCTACCCACTCCCCAGGGCTGGGATCACAGGTACATGCTAGTCTAGCTTTTTATATTGGTTCTGGGGACTGCATGACATGTACTTTACCCACTGAACATAGTTCCCAGCCTCCTTACGTTTAATGTTCTGAAGAAGGGCTGAACTCTTGTCCAAGGCAACTGCACCATTTCACATTCTTACCTGCAATGGATGGGGGCTCCGACTTCTCCACGTCATCCAATACTGTAATGAGACACAAACGTCCTGGGCATGGCGGTGTCTATCTGTAATCCTGAACTTGGGTATTTGAGGCAGGACTACCAAGAGTTCAATTCAAGCCTGGGCTACATAGGCAGTATTAGCCTCACCATGGCTACATGTCCAAGAGCCTGTCTCAAAACTACAAAACTGACTACATAAATGATAAAGCAAACATAGAAGACGTGTTCACATACCTGGACTGAAGAGCACTATTGCCTTCAGGTAGGCGTATTCATGTCCATCAATGCAGAGTTTGACCATGCTGTTACAGAATTCCTGCACCTTGAAGATGTGCTCCATCAATGACTTCCTCCTTTCGGGGGACATTTTGTCTTTAAAACACAAACACACACTTCTAATTGTCACTGAAAATGTTTGACGGTTTTCATGCATTTTCCTTCTCCCTTTCCCTCCAAGACTGGATGTAATCCATCTCTAAATGCTTAGAATTTAGAATCTCTGCATAGCTCGGAAGGTCACAAATCACTTTCTGGTATTGCTCATTCAAGAAAAAGGAAGTAAAACCCCAAACTCAATGTTCCTCTTCAGACGCCCCTTTAGATGCAGAGGCAGCCATCTGAAAACGATGCCCAAGTACAAAGAGGGCCAGGGATGGAGGTCAACTGACAGAGTGCTCATCTAGCACTTAGGAAACCTTAGATCTGATGGCGCGCACTGCAAAACCCTGGTGTGGTGGTGTGCACCTCCCAACGCTAGGGAGGTAGAGGCAGGGGATCAGGAGGTCAAGGTCATCCTTTGATACTTAAAGAATCTGTGGCCACAGAGACCCTGTCTCAAAAGAAACAAAAAACATCAAAAACTAAGGTACAAAAGACTCAAATGTTTATAATAGGATTTTATTTAAGTTTATATCATTTGGAAAAATAATGAGGAAAACCATTTTCAGTTTTAAAAATTAGAAACTCTAGTATAATAAAGACAAAAATGAGCAAAACACATTCCTAAGACTATAGAAAAGTTGAGAAAAATAAAGTCTTACAATATTTCCCTTCTCTAAAAGGGAAGCGTGTAAAAGCCATCTAAAGTGTTTAATGGATTGCAGCTTTCCTGAAGGCATGCCGTACAACACACGAGCAGACAGAATGATTCAGGACCAGGGATAAGAAGAAGTGTGCAGCTGCCTTTCGGGAGTTTTCTCGCAGATGAGAATTTAAAGTGATTTCTCAATCCTTTCTGAGGAAGCAGGTGGTTTTAAAATAATGTAAAGAAAATAATCAGGTGTGGTGGTGCATAGCTATAACCAGAGCCCTTTGGGAGGCTAAGGAAGGAAGGAGAATAGTGTAGTGTAAGCCTGAGCTACACAGTGAGGTGAGGACAAGGGAGACTCCGTCCTTAATCACAACCACAGGGGAATAGTGTAGTGTAAGCCTGAGCTACACAGTGAGGTGAGGACAAGGGAGACTCCGTCCTTAATCACAACCACAGGGGAATAGTGTAGTGTAAGCCTGAGCTACACAGTGAGGTGAGGACAGGGGAGACTCCGTCCCTAATCACAACCACAGGAAAAAAAAAAGGAAGAAAGAAAAGGAAGAAGACATGTGAGTGGCTAGCAAATCCCTGCTCGCCAGCATGTGGAGTGAGCTGGGAGGTGTTGAAGGTGGGGGAATCTTAGGAGATACTGAGATGTGGTCCTGATAAAAACAAATACCAACCTAAAACACAAAACAAACAAAAACAATGGGAAACAGAATGTACTAAGGACCTAAAAAGTGACAAGTGTATAAATTATTATTATTATTTTTTTTTTTTCCGAGACAGGGTTTCTCTGTGTAGCTTTGCGCCTTTCCTGGATCTCGCTCTGTAGCCCAGGCTGGCCTAGAACTCACAGAGATCCGCCTGCCTCTGCCTCCCAAGTGCTGGGATTAAAGGTGTGTGCCACCACCGCCCAGCCGGCAGTCGTGTTTTAATTAGTCAGCCATTTTCAAAGTGTTAAGTTACTGCCTGCCTGCCTCCTCAGATGAACAAGCATCTAGAAATTTGAAAAAAAAAAAAAAAAAAAAAGCAACCAGGAATCAGTGACTTTCCAGTTCTCTCTTCTTGTAGGAAGCTTTTTGGAGCTGGGTGTGGTAGTGTATGCCTTAAATCCTAGAGTTCAGGAGGCAGAGGCAGCGATCTCTGTGATTATTTCAGGACAGCCTGACCTAGACAGTGAGACCATGTCTACATAAGGTGTCTACATAAGGTCTGCTATGCAGCCCATGATGGCCTTGAACTTGTGCCTTCCTAGGCCAGTCTTCCTGGCAAGCACCATTGTGTCCAATGTGTTTCCATGCTCTTTACATGAAAGAAGAGAGCCTAAGGAATTGACTCAAAACCAGCTGGTCATGTGACTCTAAGTGTGCTTAAGAAGAAATACAGCTTTGGAACTGAGAGAGAAGAAGTATACTGAAATATTTGATCATTCTCTACAGACTTTTATAACTATATAAAAGTACAAAATTTCACACGCCCTATGTGATGATCTGTGGTTTGTCCCTGCCAATCATTCTGAATTCGGCTGCTAAGGCAGTGGTGTTGGGGGCAATCCCTTGTAAGAGGGATTAACGTATTTTCACAAGCTTAGACTCATTTGTGAAAGCAGGTTGTTAGGAGCAAGCCTGGAGTCCTTGGGGCAATCACAAGTGTTCTCTCTTTTGGAGACATCCACTTCATAACCCAGTCTCAGGTATTATATTTCAGAGACAAAAACTTGACCACTAAGCCTTTCCGACTTAAATACACCAGCCTTCATGTTTCTCTCATTTAAAAGTATTTTGAATGATCAATGGATTTATCAAATTGTTAAGATTACCCTGAGTAAATCAATAGAGTCATCAGGCTATCTAACTTGGCCAGAACCTTCTGTAAAGCTGAGGACTCCTCTTGTCTCCCTGCAAACATAGAAAGTCAAGAGTATTTTTACCTTGCTGAAGGCTACTGTGGAGACAGTTGACAAACGTTGCTAATATAGTTGCTACGTTCATCACCTGCCAGCACTGGGCAAGACCAAGAGTGAAGAGCTCGTTCCAGTACGCTTTTACCAACAAGATACTGTTTTCTTGCCTAGTAAAACAGAAACAAAGACATACGTCAGATATGAGCTTCACAACTGACCAATGCACTAAAAACACCAAATTATAACTATTCTAAAAGACCTGTGGGCAAACACCTGAGAATTTTGTGTTCTGTACAGCTGACAGAAGTCCACAAAGGCCTAGAAATCTAAATCTCAGCTAGCTTACGACCACTCAGCCAGTTTACAAAAACAGCTACAGTAAGATTTAAAAACAGCTCAGTTGAGAGGATTCTGAACTTTCCCAATACATAAAAAAAAGATGATATGTACCTGAGGTAATAGATGTGTTGATTACCCTGAGGTGATCACAACACATTGTATGAGTGTGGAAATGACCCAGCGCTCTCCTTAGACATGCACAATTTCTATGAATCAATTGCCAATAAAAATATATTGCAAAAACTTTAAATGAACAGGCTAGGGTGAAACAGGAGTTGACATGGTGAATTAAGCCTGCCTATGAAAGAGAAGGGTTGGATAAATGTGTAATTTTAGATATTTTATATACATGTTATATAAACATATACATATGATTATTTACACAGCTAATTTCAGACGATTAAAATTCCACTTGTATCAAGACGACATGTAAGAAAACAGTCAGGTCAGGGGAGAGGACTGAGATGGCAGATCTTTCTTTTTTAATTTACATGCATGTGTATGTGATTGTATATACTGTGTGTGTGTGTGCATGCGTGCATGCGTACGTGTCCTCGGAGGCCAGAAGAGAGCATGAGATCCTCTGGCGCTGCTGTTACAGGCTGACTGGAGCCTGCTGTGGGTGTTAGGATTCAAACTCAAGTCCTCTGCAGGAGCATTAAGTACTCGAAAACAGAAACTTATCTCCGGCTCCAGGAGATACTTTTTTAAAAAACAACTATGTTGGGATTGGCTTGGAATCCCAGGAGTCAAGGTGGAGGCAGGAGGATCAGGGAGGGGTTCAAGGCCATTACAGTGGCTGGAGGGAAGCCACAGCCACCAGAAATAACTGTCTCACAAATCCGGAGACTGGAGAGCGAGGACTGCAGCAATAAGACAGGACAGGGCAAGCCTGCAGCAGGGGTGGTGGCTAGCGTTCACTGTCAGCTGTCACCATGACCCCGTCATGACAAACAGTATCCTTCTTAAACTGATGAGCCAAACCCAATCTTCCCTCCTTACGCTGTCTCAGCAACGAACAAGTAATGAGCTGAGAAGGGCAACACTCAGGGCTCCATGGTGTTGATGCATTTCTAAAGGCGACTCTAGAGGTCTTCTCTGAATGTTTTCCCACTTAGCAAACGTACTCATTCTTTAAGGACTAGATGAGAGAGAGAGAGAGAGGGAGGGAGGGAGGGAGGGAGAGCGAGCGCAAGCTCGAGTGTTCGCGGGCTGCTGAGGATGACTCCAGAGCCATGAGCCACATCTCCATGCTCAGGAGTTGCAGTTATGCAGTCATTGATTGACTTTTGTTCAAAGTAGACTATGGAGCCACTGATGATGTGGAACGCATGGTCCTCTGGCCTCAGCTCCCCTAGTGCTGGGATTACAGTTACGCGCCATGGTAACTGGCTTCAGAGCCTGGTTCTTTGAAGAAATGCCCTCTTATAATCCCTCTCTCTCCACCTCCCCCTCTTTGGCGTTTCCTAGTTTGTTGTGTTAGGGGTCTGTTTTACCACACTGCCCAAAGGTAAAAGTTCCCTCATGCATTTCTGCATCTCAGTGAACAGTTCAAAGTACATTGTATACAGAAAAAAATCTGGGCTTTTTGCTTGTTCTAATCTTTGAGGACATAGAACAGACAGAAGTGATGACTTTAAAAGGTCAGCTAGAGGCCAGGCTGTGGTGGCGCACACCTTTAACCCAGCACTGGGGAGGTAGAGGCAGGCGGATCTCAGAGTTGAGACCAGCCAAAGCTGTTACACAGAAAAACCCTGACTTGAAAAACAACACAAAACAAAAAAGCCAGTTAGAGAAGGTGTAGGTATAGGACTTTTTAGAAGAAAAAAATCTTCAAGCAAAATCTAAATATGTTATTATAAGATAATTAAGTTGTAGGATTTCTTTCCTTTCTCCAAATGGATTCAAGTTAGTAAGAACGTGCTGCTAAGAAACACACGATCCGGAGGACTGCACATCAACTATTTCCTTCTTGAAGATGCCCCAGGCGTCAGAGAGATGGTCCACTGGTGAGATGCTCGTCATCAAGCCGAGCACCTGGCGGGCCCAGAGACCCACGGTGGGAGGAGAGAACTCATTACTGCAAGTTGCCCTCTGACCTTCCCATGTGCTGTGCCATGTGCGTCCCAACCCTCAAACACAAAATAAAACAAAACCCTGCAACTTTGTGTACATAAGCATGCTCAAGTACACACATACCCATACATAAAAAGAAGAAGAGACACAAAGGCTGACATTGTCACCTAAGAGTTACAAAGTAGCTGGACTGGGCAGTGCATGCATATACACAACGCATGGGGGAGACTGAGGCAGGAGGACTGTGTGAGTAAGAAGTGAGTCCGGGCAGCATGAGTTCCCAGCTAGTCTGCACTACAGTGTGAGAGGCGGCCTCAAGAGCAACACACAAGCAAACAAGAGACCAACACCAAACCAAGAGTTTACCAAGAAGGTTTTCCTCATGGGAATTCCTTTAGTATTTGGGAAGGACGGCCTGCCATCAGAAGAAACTGGCTATGGAATAAACTTGAAAGGAAAGCTCCAATGCAAAGGAAAGCAGTATTTATAAACCTTCACACAGGAAATAATAAAGAGAAAGCCATCTCAGTTAAAACCAAGGGAAATAAGAAGACACTGTGCTCTGTGGCAGGAACGGTAAGATCCAGCATCAGTAGTGAGGAGGAAGCAGCACTGGTCAGTGCTTTCTGGGGACGATTTCTAACAATATCAAAGCAAACAAGCATACCTTATAAGACCTCATAATTTCACTGGAAATAACTATTTTATGGCAATGGTAATGCATGTTGACAAACTGTGCTTGGTAGCACTGGACAGAACACAAAGCCGGCAACAGCTCAGACGTCAACTGATGGAGATGAGCATGTAAGTTGTAACACTTCCACAACGAAGATGGCCATCAGGAATTTATACACGTGGCACAGGAAACTTGATTGTGTGATGGGACATCACAGGGAGTAACAGGACGTGCCACTATGCGAAAGTGTTTGGACCGTTTAATAACCAGGGCATGGGAAGTGCTGGCAGGACACTGAACTCTTGACTATGGACCTAGCTTTCTGGAGAGGAGGTTTTACTTTATGGTACTACACTTCAGAGTTAAAAGCAAATCAGTTTTCATGGTAACCTGATTATGAAGTTTTAAAGAAAACAGCTAGCCAAAGTAGTTGAGTAGTGTGGTGGTTTGAATGAGAACGCCCCACAGGCTCATAGAAGTGAATGCTTGGTCTCAATTGGTGGAACTGTTTGGGAAGGGTCGGGAGGCGTGGCCTTGTTAGAGGACATGCGTCACAAGGAGTGGCTTTGAGGGTTCAAAGCCACTTCCCGTGTTTCTCTCTGCCTCTTGTGTGAGGTTCGAGATGCAAGCTCTCAGACGTTGCTCTAGCACCACGCCTGCCTGTCAGGGACACTCTTCCTGCCATGATACTCATGACTCTGACCCTCAGAAGCTGTAAGACCCCCAGACTTTTTCTTCTCTTAGTTGGCTTGGTTGTGGTGTTTTGTCACAGCAATAGAAAGGTCACGAGGGCAAATGGAAAACACAGGAAAGTAAAAATAACTGGAAAAAATATCAGAGCTTGTCTGTGCTACCCTCTGTATTAGAAACACCTTGGCCTTATGGAGAGGGCTCAGAGAGCAACTTAGACTCAATGCAGAGGATGAGAAAGGCTGAAACAAGGGGCCGAAAGGGGCAACTGAGAGTAAATTACTAGATTACTTCTTTGCCAGGGAGCAAGTTATAGGGTTAATTGTAGAAATCAATTACAGAAGGATATCCATCTAAGTTTATTTAAAACAAAATTCCAGGTAGGGATGGGGTGCATGACTGTAATCCAGCACTCGGAAAGCTGATGCAAAAGAAGCAAGAGTTCAAGACCAATCTGAGGTACACAGTGAGTTCGAGGCTATCCTAGAGTCACAGCAAGACCCTGAATCATGGCCACGTTTGCTATCAGAATTTTTCTGTTAGGAAATAAATAACTATTACAGTATCCTTATAGTACCTATTTTCAAATCTTTTTTTTTTACCCTGAGGAAGCAAAAGAAATGGATAGAAAATGCATTTAAACTATCCATCCAGGTTCCAGAAAGTCCCACAAATATCAACAACAAAAGCATTCTGTTGGCCTGGTCACCTATGTCTGAGGACAATCCGACCATCTGGCATCCACATAAACACACGCAATGTGCTACCTGCCACTTCAACATCTGTTTGAACAGAATCCATGGTCCTTAGAGAAAGAGAATCAACAAGAAACAATTAATTCACCAAACTACAGGTCTGAAACCAGCAGGTTACAGACGACATTATGTTTTATGGAACCACAGAAGATTTACCTTTCAGGTTCAAGTGGTGTTAATGAGAACTTGTGTAAATGAGAAAGTCTCTGCAGCAAATGGTGGTGGCCTGGCACTTTGGGTTCTAAGAATCTCGGCAGAGTTAGGCATGGCAGTGCGTGCCTGAAACACAGCACGTGGAGACTGAAGACTGGGGGGCTGACAGGAGTTTGAGGTCAGCCTGGGCTCAACAGTCAGACCCTGTTCCAAAAAACCAGGGCATCGAGAGAGCTCGGCGGGTAAAAGCACTCACCACTGAGCCGACCGTGTGCGTTCACCCCAGAAACCAGGGGGAACTGACTTCCCCTGAGCTGTCCTCTTACATCTAAATGTGTGCCTGCAATGCATGTGCCAGACACACACACACAGACACACACAGACACACACAGACACACACACACACACACACACACACAGACACACACACACACGCACGCACGCACGCACGCACGCACAAATGTAAAGAAAAATCAGAGTAAACAACCCTGCTGCTGTCCACACTCTAGGCAAATTACACTAAGTAACCCCAGCTTCTTAATCTACTGGAACTGTGGAGTCATTTACCTAAATCATGCAGAATGATTTCCCATGAATTAAACTACATATCTTAAACAGAAAATCAACATTCCTATTAAATATAGAGGCTTTTCCAAATACAAACAACACTAAGCAAATCTCCACCCACTAAGGCATCTGAGTACACGTGCCTAGTACCGCGGTCCGTGTCTCTGCAAAACTAGAACTCTGAGGACAATTTCTGTACCCAGCCAGAAAAATTCAGCACCCCCCCAACCCCCCAGTCAGGCTTAGAACATCCTTTATCACCACATAACAGAGCTTCCCGCCATTAGCATCCAGCACTTATCTGATTAAGTCAACTCATAAAAAGGATTTAAAGATTATCTAGGCAGAGATAAGAAGTAAGAGTTTACGTAGCAGCTAATGGCCTGGATTGTTAGCTCAACAGCTATTCTAATTAAGAGGCCTGTGGCTGCCGCACAGAAACGGATTTCCAATACAGATCACAGAGGAAAGTAGCTGCGACTATAACATTAATTATTCTATAAGCAGAAACCTCGGGCTCTGTTCCAGGTCTCACCATCTCAGCTGTTTCCCTGGGATAGGCACGTTCAACAGAAGTACTTAAACCAAGGGCGGTGTGACTAATGGAAAGTTCAGCTATACCTCCAATTCTTTCCTTTTATTAAAATAATGAAGCGTGTGTTCTGGAGGAGGTGGGTGGGGTTGGAATTGAGAATGTGTTTTTTCTTAAAAAATGTCGGAAAATTACTAAAAGCTGAATATTACTCTGAGATAAACGGGAAGGCTCACTCAGAGGTTACATACTCTAATGTAAGCTCTGCTCTGTATAACCACACATCACTGGTTAGCTAGCAAGCAAATCACAGTATCAACTGTATCCTTTGGAATCAGGGCACGTGTGTTTTTTAGTTACAGTCAAGTATTCTATCACGATAGGAAGGGACAGTTACCCCCATTTGTCAAGTGGGGAATCAATGGACAGGCTAGGAAGTGAATGGTTAAACACCAGACAGAGTGGGAGGGAGGGTCCTGTGAGTAAGCGAGCTTGCTGGCCAAGGGCACGCTCCTTCACCCTCACAACCCTCACAGGCCAGTGACTTTAAACTTTAGTAAGGCTGTGATTTCTTGGAGTGGCTCACTTTCCATTTCACCTGATTGCTTCAAAACCAAATACAGATACGGTCTGTCACAGCGCACATTTCGGAAACGGTCTGTGGAGGTTGGGGAAGGGAACCAGGTGACTGGGTAACAGTCGCCTCTGACTTTAAACATGTAGCAGACACAGCTCCCTAGTGACCTGCCTGGAGTGGATACTGAAACAAGGCTGCAGGGGATAACCACCCAGCAGGGGCACCCAGCCTGACACTGCACAGGACACTCCATCTACAAAAAGCACATCGTCAAGTTACAGTGAGAAAAATTAATACGTCCCCCCAATTCTATATTGTTTTATGATTTTATAGCTGGCATTGGTTGTTATGTAGTTCACGGCCATGAGGCTGGACATGCCTGAGTTCTAACGCATTCCCATCTTACAGAAAACTGTGTGTGCATGCGTCTTTTGCCTGCATGCATGTCTGTGCACCATGTGCATGCCTGGTGCTGGCAGCAGAGTCAAAAAGAGGGCATCAGATCCCCAGGGACCGGAGTCAAGAAGGCTGTGGGCCACCAGGTGGGTGCTGGAAACAGAACCTGGGGCTTCTGTAAGAGCAGACAGTGTTCCTAACCACTGGGCCTCCTCCAACCCCCAGACGCGCCTATCACTGTGGTAACCAAAGGCGGCCATTGTCAGTGCTGGCCACGACTGTCCTCTCCACTTACCCAGGTATTAACTTGTTCAAACTATAGAACATGGCTACTCTTCCACACAAACAGTAAGAGAGAAAATAGTAGTTAGCTATCCTGAATTGTCATCTAGATAGACTGGTAGACCTTTTTTTTCTACTGCAGGATAATACAAATCCTCCCCAAATAAACTTCGTGTGTAAATACACGTGTGCCACAGAAATCACATTTATGTTCAAGGACTTCAAACACTCACCCTAGAGCCTGGAAAGAAGGGATGGAAAGTGCCCAATGCATCGACAAGAACAGCAGTCTGGAGGCCGACTCTCCAATGTAGTGCACATTCAGGTACTCGGGCATAGGAGAAGGCATGGTGAGCTAGCGTGAACAGGGATTTAGGTAAATCATCTTATGACTTCAGGTTGGAAATTATCACTTCTTTGAAAACTTGAATATAAATATAACACATCATATAGGAATCCAATACCTGCACCTAACAAGGTCTAATATTGAAATAACTCAAGTCACTGACTATCACAACAGTGCTTAGAAGTTATGAACTGATCATAATTTCTGTCGAAGTAGCATCCAGAGCAACAGACTCTCACTTAATGGCCACCAACCGTGGGAAGACCTGGTTCACTTTATGAAGTTACTATCTTGGTACATCAGTGTGTTTTCTTGCCCCACTCCTTTCTCCACCAATGCAACACAGTGCATTTCAGTGTTAGCAGCGGCCCTGCATGTTGAGGGGCCCTTCGGGTAGGCTACAGTTTTGCTGGCAGAGATAGCGATCCTGAAGCAGGCCTGCCAGTGCCAACTGAGGAGAGCATGCGCCCAGACACCGGGCACAGCTATGGCCTGAAGCAAAACAAAACACATGGAACTGGGGCTCAATGCTGACACTCCTTCGTTGTTCAAAGAGCAGGTCTGCGCAGTATCACCCTATTCTAAAATACTGTCACTGAATACAAAAGTATGTAAAATATATATATATCTACAGGCAAGCCACTCAAAGGCTATCCATTTGCATTATTATAAACAAATAAATAAGTATAAAATACTCAGTTTGACTTAAGATAGTTATTTCAAGTGTCTGACCACAGTGAAAACAAATCCTCTACCGGAACACTTCTGAGAACATTCCAGAAGTCTTAAGGAGAGCCCACACCACTACACGTGGCATGTGGAAGGACCGCCTTTCCTGTTTTGAATCAACAGAAAGGACCTCAGAGAGGACCCGGGCAACCAGTGCTCACAGTGACTGAAAGACTGAACCAGAAGAAACCTGGCTGTTATCTTCCAAATAGGAAAACTGAGTTATATCTGGGGGCCTAAAACATCGTTGAACAACCTCAATCCAAACATCTAAACACGGAAACATTTTGGGGATCAATGCTTAATACTTCAAACATTGGCACATCCTAGATTTTTGGATCAACAGTGTTTAACTAGTAACAACTGAATATCCACCCTTAAACCTGAGAAACTGAAAGCACTATGACACACTTCTGGTCCCAGGCCCCATTTCTAAATTTATTCTAGAAAAACACTTGCCCATACACACAAAAAGTCATAGGTAAGTGATTAAGGTGGTCAAAAGATTACTTTACCACTTATTATCAGTAAAAGCCGTGCACAAATATCACAATAAGGGATGGGGAATACACATTAAAAAATTTTATTAAAAGTAAAAAAAAAAAAAAAAACCAAAAAAAAAACAAAAACAACAAAAACAAACAAAAAAAAAACAAAAAAACCCAAACATTAAAGCTAAATCAAGATCAGATAAATAATTTGAATAGACCCATAACCCCTAGTGAAATAGGAGTCATTAAAGTCTCAGGGCCAGATGGTTTTAACATAGAATTAATTCTACCAGACTTTCAAAGAAGAGTTAACACCAATACTCCTCAAATTATTCCATAAAAGAGAAACAGAAGGAGTTTTGCCAAGTTCATTTTATGAGGCCACAGTCATCATGATACCCAAAACACATAAAGACCAAACAAAGAAACAAAATTACAGACCAATTTCCCTCATAAACTTAGATGCAAAAATCATCTCTAAAATACTTGCAGAGCAAATCCAAGAACACTTCAAAAAGATCATCCACTCTTATCAAGTAGGCTTCATCCCGGAAATGCAGGGATGAATTAATATACAAAAATCAGTAAATGTAATCTACCATATAAATAAATGAAAAGAAAAAAAAACCCAAACCACATGATCATCTCATTAGATGCCAAAAAAGTCTTTGACAAAATATAACACCTCTTTCATGATAAAAGTCATGGAGAGATCAGGGATACAAGAAATATACCTAAACATAATAAAGGCAATTTACCTATAGCCAATATAAAATTAAATGGAGAGAAACTTAAAGCAATTTTACTAAAAGCAGGAACACAACAAGGCTGTCCATTTTATCCATATCTATTCAATATAATACTTGAAGTTCTAGCTAGAGCAATAAGACAACTGAAGGAGCTCAAGAGGATACATATTGGAAAGGAAGAAGTCAAAGTGTTGTTATTTGCAGATAATATAATAGTATACATAATGGGCCTTAAAAATTCCACCTGGGAACTCCTACACCTGATAAACACTTTCAGCAAACTGACTGGGTACAAGATTGTCTGAACAACAACAAAATCAGTAGCCCTCCTGTATAGAAATGACAAATGAACTGAGAAAAAAAAAAAATTGGGAAAATAACAACACCCTTCACAATTCCTTCAAATAATAGAAAATAACCAAGTGAGGGAAAGACCTGTATGATAAAAACTTGTAGTCTTTGAAGAAGGAAATTGAAGAATATATCAGAAGATGGAAAGATCTCCCATGCTCATGGATTGGTAGGATTAGCATAGTAAAAATGGCCATCCTGCCAAAAGCAATTTACAGATTCAATGCAATCCCTACCAAAATTTCAACATAATTATTGACAGACCTTAAAGGAACAGTTCTCAACTTCTTATGGAAAAAAAAAACAAAAAAAACCCAGGATGGCTAAAACAATCCTGAACAATAAAAGAACTTCTGGAGGTATCACCATCCCTGATTTTCAGTTGTATTCCTGAGCTATAGTAATAAAAACCTCACGGTATTGGCATAAAAACAGATGCGTTGACCAATGGAATTGAATTGAAGACCCAGACATAAATCCACACACTTTTGTACACCTGATTTTTGATAAAGAAGCCAGAAATATACACGGGGAAAAAAAAGACAGCATCTTCCACAAATGGTGCTGGTCAAACTGGACATATATTCATGTAGAAGAATGCAAATAGATCCATATTTATCACCCTGCACAAAACTCAAGCCAAGTGAATCAAAGATGTCAACAGAAAACCAGATATGCTGAACCTGACGAAAGAGAAAGTGGGAACGGCCTTGAACCCACTGGCACAGGAGACAACTTTCTGAACAGAACACCAATAGCACAGGCATGAAGATCAACAGTTAATAAACAGGCCCTGGTAAAACTGAAAAGCTTCTGTAAGGCAAAGGACATTGTCAGTTGGACAAAGCAGCAGCCTACAGAATGGGAAAAAAGATTTTTATCAACTCCACATTCAAGAGAGGACTAATATTCAATATGTATGTATGTGTGTATATATATATATATATACACACACAAATATATATATAGAGAGAGAACTCAAACTAGATATTAAAAAAATCAAATAATACAATTAAAAAATGAAATATAGATCTAGAGAGATTATTCTCAATAGAGGAATCTCTAACGGTTGAGAAACACTAAAAAATAAATATTCAACATCCTTAGCCCTCAGGGAAATACAATTTAAAACTACTTTGAAATTCCATCTTATACCTGTCAGAAGGGCTAAAATCAGTAACACAAGTACAGTTCATGCTGATGAGGATGTGGAGCAAGGGGAACATTCCATTGCTAGTGGGAGTGCAAACTTGTACAGACACTATGGAAATCAATATGGAGGTTCCTTAGAAAGTTGGGAATCTGTCTACCTCAAGACCCAGCTACACCACTCCTGGGCATATACCCAAAGGACCCTCCATCCTACCACAAGGACACTTGCTCAACTATGTTGATTGTGGCTTTATTCATAATAACTAGAAACTGGAAACAACTGAAATGTCCCTCAACTAAAGAATGGATAAAGAAAATGTGGCGCATTTACATAATGGAGTATTACTCAGCTGTTAAAAATGACACCATCAAATTTGTAGGCAAATGGATGCAGCAATGGATGTAGGCAAATGGATCTTTTTAGAAAAGATCATCCTGTCTGAGGTAACCAAACCCAGAAAGGCAAATATGATTGGTGCCTTGTCCAGTCATCATCAGAGAGGCTTCCTCCAGCAGCAGATGGGAGCAGGTGCAGAGACCCACAGTCAGACATTATGCAGAGAGTCTAAACTGGAGGTCTCCACCAGGTGCTTCCCATCAGAGTTTAGGGAACCCTGCTGAAGAGGGAGAGGAACGATTTTAGGAGTCAGAGGGGATGGAGGACACCAGAACATGGCCCACTGAATCTGAGCAGGACTCGTACTGGCTCACAGGGACTGAAGCAGTAAGCCTGAGTCCTGCATGGGTCTGCTCCAGTCCTCCGCATAGATGCTATGGCTGTTAGCTTGTTGCTTTTGTGGGACTCCTAACAGTGGGAGCTGGGGTGTCTTTGACTCTTTTGCCTGCTCTTGGGACTCTCTTCCTCCTACTGAGTTGCTTTGTCCAGCTTCAACATGAGGGCTTTTGACTTGTCTTAGTGTATCTTGTCTTGTCATGTTTGGTTGTTGTCTCTTGGGGGCCTGCTTTTTTCTGAAGGGAAACAGGAGGAGTGGATCTGGGCGACAGGGGAGGTGGAGGGAAGGAAACTGTGGTCGGGATGTACTGTATGAGAGAAATCTATTTTCAATCAAAAAAATTAGTAAAAAAAGTTGTCTTTGTTCAAAATTAGGCACAAAGGTTTACCAAATCCTTACTTTTAGGAATAGAATGTAGGTCCCCTTTTCTTGTATAGTATGGTTTCCAATTCTGCGTTTTATGGTGTGTGTGTGTGTGTGTGTGTGTGTGTGTGTGTGTGTGTGTGTGTGTGTTTCTCTTATACTTTTTCTTTTTTTATTCTGGTTTGCTTGTTTGCCTGTTTGTTCGAAAGAGAAAGAGAAAGAGAAAGAGAAAGAGAAAGAGAAAGAGAGAGAGAGAAAGAGAGAGGGAGGGAGGGAGGGAGGGAGGGAGGGAGGGAGGAAGGAAGGAAGGAAGGAGTAGAGTTGGATGATGGAGAGGTGAAGAGGATCGGGGGATGGGAAACTGTGATCAGAATAGGTTCCATGAAAAAAATTATTTTCTTCTTTTTCTTTTATTTTTTTGAGACAGTTTCTCTGTGTAGCCCTGGATGTCCTGGAACTTGCTCTGTAGACCAGCCTTGCCTCAAGCACATGGAAATCCACCTGCCTCTGCTTCCCGAGTGCTGGGATTTGCCACCACCACTTGGCAAAAAAATATTATTTTCAATAGGGAAAGAAAAAAAAGAATGTGTGCACTCAAGCTTGCTAAGTATATACTTTTATCTGTAGAGCTGGGGATCGAACTCAGGGCTTTATGTATGCGGGACAAATGCTCTACCAGCTGCGCTACATCAACAGTTTGATTTACCTATTTATTAATATTGACAGTACCAAATGATGAGATAGGGAAATAGATGGTTTAAACCCTATATAAGATTGTCTTCTGAGGTCTGAACCCAGGACCTTGGCATGTTGAGAATCCATTCTACCACCAAACAACACCGACAGACTCACGATGAAAAAATTTTCAAATGTTTACTGGAGCAGCAAGGTAAAACACAATTCAGAAAACACAAAACATGTCTTTAAAAACACCTGTGTGTGTATGTGTGTGCACATGTGATGTATGTGTGCAGGTGTATGCACAGAGACCACAGGTTGGTGTTGAGTGTCTTCCTCTATTGCTCTCCATATTTTTTTACTTACTTTGCATATGATACGTGTATATGAGTATGGATGTGTGCCATGGTGTACATGTGGAGGTCAGAGGACAACTTTCAGAATCAGTTCTCTCCACTGTGCATCTCAGGGGTCAAACTCAGGTCATCAGGCTCGGAGGCACGTGCTTTTACCCGCTGAATCATCTCTCTGCTGGCTCCTCACCTTGTTTTGAGACACAGTCTCTCACAAAATCTGAAGACTAGCTGGCCAATGAGCCCCAGGGAGCCCCTGTGTCCCTCCCCAGAGCTAGGATTCCAAGTTCACACACCACGCTCGACCTCTTCTTTGATGCTGCTGATCTGAGCGTGGGTCCTCATGCTATGTGGGAAGCACGCACTGACCGAGCATCTTCCCCAGCCCCAGTTCCTGAGAGAAGCGAGCAAATACTAAATGCCTTTACAAACAAAAATGTGACTGTTTTTACATGGGAATAAGTGTAAAAATTTTGGGAAATATACCATTTCAGAATTGCTTAAGGTGAGTGGGTGTGGGGGAGGGCGGTGAAAACTTAGGGGAATTACCCAAAACAACCAGTCCTATGGGTGAGGGACGCTACAGAACAACACTACAGAATACTCAGGGCACATGCCTCTCATCACAGCATACAAGAGGATGGAGAGCTCACAACCACGTGTGCTATGCAGCAAGACCCTGCTCCTGTCTCAGAAACCAAAACCAAAGTAGCAGAAATCCACAAAAGAAAACAATACCCTCCAAAACCCCTCAAAACCCTTTGCAAATAGTTTTAAACCACCTTTAAACAAAGAAAACACTAGCTGTATGTTTGCCTTACTTGCCTTGGCAATTACCTCTCTAGTGCAGCTTCTACATCAAATTCTGTCAGAATAAAACTTTGAAAAACCCATTTGACTTGTAGGAGATACGGACTGTCTTTCAAGATTTGTGACTCTGGGTTAGGCCTTCCTTCAGGTGACTGATGAGCACTGTGAGCACTGTGAGCTGTTATCTCAGAACTCACATCTGACCAGTGAGAACTGTGGGCAGGATTGAGAAGGGCATGTGTGAGGAGTGATGGAGACGTGACTTGGAATGGGAAGGGCCTTAAAAGGTCATGTGACAGAGCGGCAGCTGAACCCCACATGAGCAATGGAAGCTATGAAATATGCTGGCTGGCTGATTTTTGTGACAGGGTCTTGTCACACTTTAAATTGTCAGTGACATAGTAGGTTGATCTTTAACAAAGATGCACTGATTTCAGGATCCAGGACAAGATGGAGAAGACATACGGGACAAAGATATCACTGTGACAATTCGAGCTAGAACTTTAAAGGAGCTTTAAGACACAGTTGATAGAAACAGGAAGGGGGAGATTCAAGTGCAGGATGAAGGGGAGTCACCTGAGGGAGGACAGGGAGGGTTTGAGTTCAGCATCACATCAGTTTTGAAAACGGCCTCACCCTTGTCCTATGGATTTACTTCAAAGGATAGAAGTCCTATTTACCTTAATTGTTCCTATAGGAATAAAGTGAAAGAGATTTTTGAAATCATAACTCAAAAAAGTCATAAATAAAAATATTACTATCATTCTAGATTCTTTACTTGCTGTTATATCACCGGATGGCTTCTCCTTCCTACATTTAGGTTGCTTTGAATAAGATATTAAAATACACAAATCTTAGTTTCACTATGAAATGAGAATAAAAACTTCAACTCATCCAAGAGAAGTGTCATGGCTCAGCTGAGAGAACAGATAGGGAAATATGCCAATTAGACACACAGAGCAACAGAGGGACACAGGGTGGCTCTGCTCGGGGACTGAGAAGTCCGGGATCTGAAGGGGGGTGTCAGCCCCGAAACCCAGGCCGGAGGAGAGCAGCAGGAGACCTGACCCGTGGAATGACTGCAGAAAACTAGAACTCTTCCCAGGACTGGAAGCAAGGGTTGAAGCTGCTGCCGTTTCCAGGAGAGGAAGAACCCACCAGCTCCAGAGAGAAAAGCCAAGTTTGAATTTGTTGAATTCATCTGTCCCAAGCATTTAGTTCATAGAATTAAAAACCCGAGAACTGATTGAAGGAAGCTGATCAGCGGCTGTCTAAAAGAGCTATTTGTCCCTGCGTGCACCGGGTCTCTGCCTCCACCTCTCTCCTTGTCCTTCCTCCAATCTCAGTCCAGAGTGGGAAATGAAACTGAGCACACAAGAGAATGGACTTCATTTAGAAGATGAAAGAACCATGGGAAAAGCATCTTGCCTTGATCCCCTTGTCCATAGCTCCAACAATAACTTTTAGGCACTAATTATTCTTACTATCTCTTCTTATATCACCTATGAAACGTTTTTGGGGAGTGCAGATAAAACACTTGAATTTTTATAAGTACAATTTATTTAGTAAAATGTATTTAGTAAAATTTTACATGAGAATTGTTTTCTCTGCTGCATTTAACTGGTATATCATGTTATGGCAATTATTAGGCCATGTGAACTTTTCCTATGGCTATTTCAACCAAGCTGAATTCTGAAATACCAATCTTCTATGGTGTTTTGGTCTAGCAGGAAAGTTTATATCCACTGTAAATCATTCTCAAGTGTCCCAGAACTGCTGTGTACGGCTGACTGTGATCTGTGTATACTCAATTATTTTACACACCCCTTTCTAACAGTATTCACAAGGGCAAAGCAAAGATCCAAGAGGGTCAGTTATGGTGCTAACGAGATCTCAGCGGTGGGCACATCTACAGCTCGGTTCAGCATATTAATCTGAGGAACAGATCAAGCTTTAGAGAGTTACTTCGTAGGCTCCATCTGTATCGCTTCTAATAGTCTAGCTGTGCTGCTTCCATTATAAAGAGTACGGGGGTGAGAGAGGCGCGGGGTAGGGCACTGGCCATGCGTAGGAGCACATAGACACGTAGAGTACACGTAGGGATTCATCCCCAGCACCATGACAAAATGTATTTAGGATAAATTCCAAATGCTCCTTTTCCAAAATGGTTTTTACAAGTACCAGGAGTTAGAAACCTAAGGCTAAAATGCATTATGTAACAAGCACCCCCATATGATAATGCTGAAGGGTAGCTAAGTAAGGTAGCTCAGTCACACATTCATCATTTTTATCTTTATTATTTCTAATGTGAGAGCAAAATATCTGGGTCTTAGACACCAGTTTACACTAAAATAGTAGCCAGGCACTGAACAAAGCCATGTATCCAGGACACAATGAATGTCCACGCCTAATGAAAGAAAGCAATTGTGCCTAACTGACCCTAAAATCTTCCTGATTTTGTTTTACAAGGCAGTTTCTCCTGCTCTGTGTAGCCTTGGCTATCCTAGAGTCTCTCTGTAGACCAGGCTGGCCTTGAGTTCAGAGATCAACCTGCCTCTGCCTCTCGAGTGTTGGGATTAAAGGCGTGCGCCACCACCGCCTGGCTGGGCTCACAACCATCTACAGTAGGATCTGAAGACCTCTTCTGGCACGCAGGTATGCATGCAAAGCACTCACACATACAATATAAATGAATTAAATGTAGAGAATTATTAAAACCTAACCACCTACTTGCCCTATCACAACTGAGAGCAGCAAGCTGATCCACTGTGTTCTACAGCAGGGCGTGGCTCAGGGCTGAAATTCTACCACGGCTACTTCTGACTCTAAAAGTTAACAGGCAAGTTCTGACTGCTGAAAGGAAGATCAGAATCCAACAGTAGCATAACATAAAAAAAATCAAAGGTACCCTGAAAACTACATGGGAGTCGCTGAGCAGTGGCCCCTCTTTTTCCATGTAGCTCGACTCTCCAGGGATGAGGTGTCCGTCCATGCTCTCCACTGGGCTATGACAGGCTGGGCTTTCTCCGGGAGTCAAGGCTTTGGCGAGGGTGTCAAACGCCCTACAAGGAGACAGCAGACGCTGTGAGCTCGGCCAGTCTCCAACAGGCAAATGAAATTCCTCTACAAAGTTCTGGAGTTAAGATTTAAGTCAAGGGGCGAGGATAGCTCAATGGTAGAACACTTGTCTAGCACACACTAGGCCATGGGTTTAGTGCCCAGGATGGGGGTGGGGGCACCTAAGCATAAAAATTCCTTTGCAGATAGGGCAGGGGTTGGCTCAGTGGTGGAAGGCTGTGTAGTGTTGAAAAGGACCTGGGCTCCAGTGCCACCGTCAGGAGGGGTATGCACACACAAAACGAACAGTAACAAACCAGGCTCCAGAAAACAACAGCGTTCTTGTATGACAGACAGACGCTGTATTTCAGTGACCTCTGTGATCAGCTCCAAAGCCAACAAATTAAACTTAGTAAGTGTACTTTAAAATATTATATATTACCATATTACCAAGAAATTATCATCTCTTTAAGTATGAGAGAAATCCTCATACTCATTCCTTCATATGCAAGCTATTTATGTCGACTTTGCTATATCAAACACAAAACAAGTTCAGTTTTGATTTTACTTAAAAATTCAGACTATTTTTACACTTGTGGTTACTTAAATGCACACAGATAAGAATTTAAGATTAGGATGATAGATAACTGAAGTTACCAAGTAATCATTGAAAACAGTTTCCCATACTGTTACAGGATACATTTTCTAGAGTTCCTTAAATGAAGTCCTACGCTCAACAACTCCCCAAGGCTCCACTGCTATGTCCCCCTTTCCGGTCCTTTTGCAATGCTGTCCCTCAAACCCAGGGCCTAGGACACACCGGGTGAGCATTCTACCACCACTCAGGGATACCCCAGCGCAATATGAAATATAAAATAATAAACGGAAGTCTGAGAAAACTCCGACGGAATTTCATCTCTGTATTCCTGACAAAATAAAATCAAATTCTGATTCTATTTTCCTTAAGTATAATTTAAAATAGTTATTTCAATGAGATCTTTGACATTATCAACAGAAATTAGTGGTGGCTGGGAAATCAAGATGGCTGCTTAGGAAACATGTTTCGTTCTACATACAGCGGGAAAACATCTAAACACAAAAGGAAACGTCAGACCCCAACTGTCATTTAAGATAAAGGAAATCCCCAACCTGCCAGACTGCAGTACTAACTTTATAATATACACTTCCTGCTCATGAAACTCAGAATGGAGTGTGTTCAGCATGCTGCACTATAAGCAGATTTTCAATTAACCCGTACTATACCTTACACTTCTATATTTCTTACTGAAATACTTTTCAGAAACTTTTAGAGACAGACGTTAACACAAAAACACTCTAATCAACTCAGAATGCAGTTTAGAAGAAGAGACCAGATTTACCTTGAGACGTCCCCGTTGGTCTGGATATCCTGATGAAATGCACAGAAGGGGGCATCCCCGTTGCGTAAGCTTTCCACCACAGGCATGTCGTGACTAGTGTAAGGAAGGTCTTTAGCTTTGCCGAGATTCGCCAGTGACGTGACCACACTGGCCAGTGTGCTTAGGTCTCCTTGGCATGATTCAACCTTAAAAATAAAGAAAGGACTAAAATTTTGCAAAGCGGTACTGATATTTCAAAACCTCAAATATCAAATTCTAGGTCATGAAATACTGAGAGAAAAGCAAATTAATAAATCAAATTGATGAGTACAGCAGTTCGTTTCTGTAATCCATGCCAGACTCAAGAGGACGAGGTGAGAGGGTTTCCACAAAGTCAAGGCCAGTGTGGGCTACCGAGTGAGAGGTCGCCCTTAAAGAAAAAAGAAAAACTCCCGAGGAAAACATAGACTTAAAAATAGGTATAAGTTTATAAAAAACATTTACAAAGCTTAAACAAAAATTCTACTTACTAACTAATCCAGCCAAGTCATAGTTACTTCCTCTAAAAAGGATATCAAATTAGGTAATAATTCTTTTTAGAGGTAATGATTTAATATTGTTAAAACTTCCAAAACTTTTAAGATTAAAATATTTTAATTTTGTGTGTATGGGTGTTTTGCTTGCATGCATGTCTGTGCAGCCCATGCGGCCTGGTGCCCTCAGAGGTCAACAGAGGGCATTGGGTTCCCTGGTACTGGAGTTACAGATGACTGTGAGCGGCCATGTAGGGGCAGGGAACTGAACGTGGGTCCTCTCCACGAGCAGTAAAGGCTCTTAACCTCTGAGCCATCTCATCTCTCCAGCCCCAAAGATTTAGTTTTGCTTTTTACATTAGGTGTGTCTGTGTGTGGGTATATATATCTTTGCTCTGAGCTGCCTTGCTGGCCCTGAAGACTTGGGAGTGTCTCGGGGAAGACTTTCCTCCACCGGCCCCGGGCTCTGCCTCTGCAGCACTGTCAGCCCCACAGTACTAGGGCGTCATTCATGGAATGAATGACTATGGTCACACAGGCCATGAAGAATAGGGGCCTGCTGGATTGCAGAGCCTATGTTCATAGCCAATTAACCTTCTTAAATAAGAATACGAGTAATTAGTATTTTTAACTATTTTAATTTTTTTTTTCTTGTTTAGGTTTTGTTTTTTGAGACAGGGTCTAAGTGTGTAGTCCCGGCTGGCCTGGAATTCACTGTATGAGACCAGGCTGGCCTCAAGCTCAGACAGCTCCTCCTGCCTCTGCCTCCTGAATGCTGAGATTAGATTAAAGGCATTTGCTCATATATTCTGCTAGGTATCTTAACTTTTATTTACAACTCAGAAATGTTAATATTCCTTTCCATGAGACAGCATGTCTAACTAGATTTCAAAGTTTCTGCCACTGGAGATTCTTAAGTAACGCAACATGGAGAAACCTCATCTTGTGATGTGAAATTCGGGTCCATTTGTCGTGTTTTGCATTACACCTTCCGGTGCTGAGACTGAACCAAGGACTTCATGCATGATGCACCTACTCTTCCACTCAATGCCCTGACGACTTTGGGGCTGACAGTGCTGCAGAGGCAGAGCCCGGGGCTGGTGGAGGAAAGTCTTCCCCGAGACACTCCCAAGGCTTTTCAGGGCCAGCACGGCAGCTCAGAGCAAAGGCACTGGCCACTAACCAGGATTCCTTGTATGACGAGATCCCACCCACATGGTGGGAAAGGACAGCCAACTCTGGAAAGTTGTTCTCTGACCTCCATATGTGTATGGTGGCATACAGACACAGTAAAAAAAAATAACAAAAATAGGTTACAAACCTTTTTAGGAAAACTTTCTCTTCTCACACAGTTTTGGAAAACTGCAGGAAGTTTATCAAGTTTATCTAAATAGAGCAGTTTTTAGGGCCAGGGAGATGGCTTCATGGGCAACAGTGGCTGCTGTACAAGCACAAAGATAGATCTAAATTCAGATCCCCAGCGCACACATAAACAACCATGTGTGTTCCTGTCATTGCCACATCCAGGGAAGAGAAAGACAGGAGGGTTGCCGGGGGCCTCACTGGCTCCCCCCAACTGGAACTCCAAATTCTGGGTTCGCTAAGACCCTGTCTCATAGGACAAGGCAGACGGCAATACAGCAGGGCATTGTGAGCGTGAGCATGAGGATGTCCACAAGCAGGCACACATGTATGTGTGTGCACGCACACATGCAGAAATCTCTCCTTTAGACTCGAGCAGAGATCGGCTTCAGTCTCAAGAGAGTCTCGAGGACTGGGGTGTCATCTGAGAGCACTTGCAATTTCATTCCCACCCTGACCCCAGAGAGGCTGAGATGCACAGCGGCCACAGAGAATCCTGAGACTCAAGGGAGTGTTCTAATGGAGGTATGCTGAGAATTTCCCTTTACTTAGAGTAATACTCCAAGTAAAATGTAATATGTAAAATAATACATAAAATATAATAAATCTAGCAGGAAAAATAAGAGGAAGTCAGGTAAGAATTCTGATCAGATGGGTTCACAATACATCACGGCTGATCCTCAAATCAGAGTGCAGATTGGGCTGGATCCATTCCCAGTCATTTCCTGCTTTTAGCTTTCTAAGTTGCTGGGATTCAGGAAGTGAACCATTTATTAGGTTTGGTTTAGATTTAGCATCAATTAATTTTCTGATAGCTTTCACTTCAAGATGAAAGAAAAACTGGGAACACTTTTACTTTTTGTTGCTTTCATGGTCAAGATAAAATTTTAGTGACACGGTGAAAAATTTTATCAAGTAATTTTAGCTTTAGGAACAGGAATTAGAGACTGGAGAGATGGCTCAGTGGTTAAGAGCACTGTCTGCTCCTCCAGAGGTCATGAGTTCAATTCCCAGCACCCACATGGTGGCTCGCAACCATCTGTAGTGGGATCTGATGCCCTCTTCTGGCCTGCAGGGATACATGCAGGCAGAACACTGTGTACATAACATATATAAATAAAGTCTTTTCAGAAAGGAAAGAGGAATTACTGCTCTGTAGTAGAGCAGGGGGCTAAGGGCTCCAACGCCAGCACCACGAGGACGGGGGAGGGAGGGTCTTTTAAACTGCACTATATACCTTATCTGGTGCCATTAGCATAGTTGGTTCTGTTTTTATTCCAGACGGATGAATATTCACGAACATTCCTGAATCCAACAGTCCTGTTGACCTGTAACAAATGAAGCACAAATTTCAGTCTTACTTGATCTGGAAAAAGTAGCAAGTGACCCGCTTCTTAGTGTCATCTGTATGGCACCTGGTGGCCTCGCCGTCCGTCACAAAGGTTGGAGTGGCAGCCAGCGGGCTTCGGAGGTCTTTGCGGATGTAGATTTTTTCTGTTGAGGCCGCACAGTTGGAAGATTTTTCTCGGGACACTTCAATGGGTTTTCTTTCACACTGAACAGCTGTGAAAACATGTTAAATAATTATACTACAAGAGACTTTATGTAAATTTGTAAACCTAGGCTTCTTGCCATCAGTATGACTAGCAAGAGGGAGACGCTGCTTCCCAGTGAATTCCAAAGGCAACCATCAATCTTTACAGAGTCTATTCACATTCAATGATGTTGCTCCCTATTTGTAAAACTGGTCAATGTACATCTTATTCACATTTCTTCCTATTTGGCCACTCCTATGGTAGAAAAACAGAAACCTCATGCTGGGTGGTGGTGGTGGCGGTGGCGGCGGACGCCTTTAATCCCAGCACTCGGGAGGCAGAGGCATCTCTGTGAGTTCGAGGCCAGCCTGGTCTACAGAGTGAGATCCAGGACAGGCACCAAAGCTATACAGAGAAACCCTGTCTAGAGGGGGAAAAAAAAAAAAAAAGACAAGACAAAGAAACCTCATGATCAAGAAGGAAGAACTCCATATAAAGAAAAAGAAATCAGTTGAAGATAATACTAATAAAAAAAAAAGGGCTAAGGAGAGCCTTTCTGGTTAAGAAATAAATGTGCATCACACAGAAGCTCATCTACACAACGTGCACTATCTATAGGAATTTGTAGGACCTAGAGAGGAGGTAAGACCGTTGTTAAATGTACACTTTCTTTCGGGGCGGAGGGGAACGCAAACTGTCAGAACTCAGAACTCGGCTCAGTCACCTGCTAGCTGTCTGTCCTTTGGTGAGTTTTCAACCTTCTCCGGGGAAGGCGTTGCGTGTTAGCAGCATAACCAACCGCAGAGAACTGCTATGAGAAGATGCTGACATGGATGTGTAAGGAGCTGCTTTTAGCACATGGACAGTTCCATCAGTAGTGGCTGCTGTCACCAGGATCACATTTTGGCCATCAGTCACAAAGTACACTGACGTCTAGCTACTTGAATGATACATAGTTTTCAATTTTAGAATGTAACATTGACAATACTGCAGAGAACTTAGGAAAGACAACAAAATCACTAAAAATTCTATTTTGCACATTAAAAATTTTAAATTCTGAGACAACTTAGAAAAATCATTGGGTGCTAAGTGCCAACTGGAAATGTGTGCTTGGCACAGGAGTATTAAAAATGTTTATTGAATAATAAATACATATGTATATATTCTACTTTTAGTTGGACAACTGGATTAAAAAGCCCATGTCATGTTTGAACAAGAAGAGCCTGCTGGAGGACGTCTGTGGCTGCAGTGAACTGTGAGCGTTTGTAGCCTCGCTCCACTTCCTGGATGAGGCTAAAACGTGAGTAGCCTGCTTCCTGGTCCAGTTAGCACAGAACCTTCCGGCCTTCGGGAGCCATAAACCCAACAAGCCTTCTGTTCTTTCAGTTGCTCTGGTCATGGCATTTAACTACAGTGACAGAAAAAAAAGTCGCTAACACAGCACAGGGCACCTGAGCGGCTCAACGCTAACGTGTGTACACTCCGAGAATACAAAGCATTACTCCTTTCCGGGAAGTACATACAGTCCTGTTTCATCCCGAAGGCGATACAGCGCTGTAACCTGCAGTACTGACAGCGGTTCCGGTGGTGCTTATTGATTACACAGTCTTTCGAGCCTCGGCACGAATACACTAAATTTTTCCGGATGCTCCTTTTAAAAAATCCTTTGCAGCCTTCACAAGTTATTGCTCCATAATGACGTCCTAGAGATGAATGTTTAAGACAATATAAAACATACTATAGGTTAGAAGTGAAATAAACTCAGTTTTTCTATGAAAACAACAACATGTAGAATGAAATTGTGATTTTGAGATTCTGACAAAATTTTTTTTAGGATTTAAGTAGAGAATCAAACAACCATATCCTGCGGTAACTTCAGTGATATATAGTTTTGAATTTTATAATGTAACATTAGGGCCAAAATCATCATCAAAAATTCTATTATGCACATTAAAATTTTTAATCCTAAGAAAGTTTACAAATTATACTTTTGTCATACATCATATAACAGTGTCCCCCCCTCCCCCGTTAGGGGGTAAATACAGCTCCTCGTACACGCTAGGCAAACATTCTACCAATCTGTATCCTTGGATATAATAGATATTTAATATTACAGCTCCATGCTCCAGAAGAATGAAAAGTGCTACCTACTCCTGGAAGTATAGTATCCTTTCTTTGTGAGTTCCACCTTGAAAACTTCTTAATAAAGCTATTGTAGTCTGGACCAGAGAGAAGGCTTGGCGGTAAGAGTACTTGCTACTCTGTCAGAGGGTCCAGGATCAGTTCCCAGCACCCACCATCCAGCTGCAGCTCCAGTGCCAGAGGACTTGATACCCTCTTCCAGCCTCCACAGTATCAGGTGCACACACAGTACACACAGATACAGCCAAGCCAACTGCTCACACACACATTACATTTTGATTAACTTGTTACTTCACCAATCATGTGTTTTGTATGATGACATTAACAAATTACACAAACTTGAGGAAAAGTTCTAATGGAAGTTTTTATAGAGAAATTTCAAAAACAATTTTACAGAAACAAGCTGGGCCCTGAAACTCTGCCCACCGACACCTGTGCATATGTATGAGCAGACATGGGCATGACTTCTGACAGGAAGCCAGTATGATCAGAGTTAAAATGACTCATCCCTGAGCATCCAGAACCGACGGAGAGCAGCCCACCCAGGTCTGAGAGTGAACTTCCCCGGCAGACCCCATCTGATCACAGAAGCTAACCAGGTCAGGCTGGCTCATTCTTGGATGGGAAACTAACCAAATCAGATATGCAGAACTCTAAATAAAGGTTGACCAAAGGATCTTCCATTCAGCAATTCAATTTACTCTGAATTTCTAAAATAGGATTTGGGGAAGTGTGTTAAAATAAATTTACGACATAATGTATTATTAAAGACCACAATTCATTTTCCAATGATTCCTTTGGCAAATTTAATTTTTACATTTAAAACGTTTTTGTGTTTACCTCCTAATGATGAAACCAAAACAAATATTCTATGCCATTATAAATCAAATGAAATGACACCTAAGAAAAAGTATAAAAAAGAGAGAAAAGTGAAGTTTTAGAGGCCACAAAGATGAAGCATAAAAACTATTATTCTATTTATAGTGTCAGAGGGAACACAGTTGAGGGGCAGTTACTTTAAGAGTATAACATATACAGAATTATTTTTATTCATACCTGATGCTTTGTCTCCACATACTACACAAAGATCAAAAACTTTATTTGGTCCTTGGTCAGGCGAATTTTCTGTAAAGAGCTTTTAGAAGAAGAAAAACGTCATTGGTCAGCAACAGCCTCATGCTGCCAACAGTGAAGGAACACAGAGTCAGAGTCGCTTCTGACTCTGACATAAATTACTCGTCAACTAAGAACTCTGACCGTGGACACAGCAGTTAAGCCAGTTTTCTTCCACACACAGAGGAAATACGTCAGTGTTAGACAAGGCCAAAACCATGAGTATCTTTCCCTTCTTCACAACAGTCACAACGGCACACACCTCTGACCCCAGTATCATGAGAAGGGGTGGGGAGGGCAGGTGGATCTTTGTGAGTTCAAGTCCAGCCTGGTGTATTCAGTTCCAGTCCAGCCGGGGCTACACAGTGAGACTCTTTCTCAAGAACAAAACCCGGGCTGGAGGATGGCTCAGCGGTTAAGAGCACTGACTGCTCTTCCAGAGGTCCTGAGTTCAATTCCCAGCAACCACATGGTGGCTCACAACCATCTGTAATGAGGTCTGGTGCCCTCTTCTGGCCTGCAGTCACATATGCTGTATACATAATAAATAAATAAATAAATAAATCTTTAAAAAAAAAAAAAAAAAGAACAAAACCCAACACCAAAATCCAGCCAGTGGTTGAGAACACTCGCTGCTTGTAGAGGACACAGGTTCAGTGCCCAGCACCCACGTCAGGTGGTTAGTTCCTAACCAACCTGTATGTCCAGTTCCAGTGACTGATGGCCTCCTCTGGCCTCCTCAGGAACCTGCACACATTTTGGGCACGTATCCTCAGGTACACACATACATATAAAATAAATAAGTCTTAAAAAATGTTTGATACACAAATACACGAGTATTTTTAAGTGTAAGCCACTCATACACACTAACACTATTCATATATAAAATTATCCATAGAGAAATACGTCTAATTATTCTAAAAGTTCTAAGACCTTTCATGACATTTGCCTTTGACAGTTCAAAACCTTTCCAAATGAAATGGCCCAGCAAAAGCAT